CCCCCCCGCTAACCACTCCACGCTTTGGGTAAACTAATGTCATGCCATACATTCCAGCGTTCCGTGGGCATGAGAGCGTTATTCGTGTTACGAAGCGTTCAGGAAAGGATACCAAAAGTTTCAGTCCTAAGAAACTGAAGTATTACGAGTGCACAGTTGACAAGCTAGTTCAGGTACACTTTGATTATGATTTTCTAATGATTGCCGTGTTACTTCCACATTTGAAGCGCGCAAACATCCGCGAGGAAAGTTCCACGCCGCAGATTATGTATGTTGCTAGGTTCCCTTCTTGTCGGTAGCTAGGAGAAGTTTGGCAGTGCAGACAAAAAGAGCGCATTCACGGAAAGCCTTATTATTCATGTTCGATGAATGAGTGCAAATCGTGTACAGAATTTGTACCTTCGCATCTGCTGTGTGATGTCGATTAATTCTGAAATAAATTTAGTGATTTCTATCTAATGCTCACAAGAACGTTATTCGGAACCATGACTTGAAATTTGTAGTATGATTTGTCAAGTACTTTTTGCTGAATCCTTTGAGGCAATTCAGAGGTCAAGACAAAACACAGGATGTACAAATCGCCGACGCATGTAAAGCTGACGGCACTACAGCAGTCTTCTGAGAGAAGAAAAATTCGGCAGCGTCTACCGAAGGTATATTTTACAGGAAGAGTCTAAAGTATGGTAAAGACGCTTAAAATTCTTGGAAATCTTGAGAACAAAGGTACGCTGTACTCTCATTCTGAAGAAACCTTTTCAAGATTCCGTCAAATATAGATGAGATATAGTTTCAGTGTAATTTAGGTTAATTGTTCACTCGACTCGTCAGTGGCACCACGACGTACAGGAACAAACTTCAAGAGAGAAACTTTCAAAATCTTAAAACAACGAAGCTTGCAGTTTTAAAGAAGACGAAGGTATGCTTTAATTAAACTAGTTCTCAGGGAAAACACGTGATCTTACCTCGACGCTCCGATCTTAATCAAGAGGTGCTCATAAGATGATCGCTACAAAGGATTTATAGAGGGTCAAGGTTTTTTTGGGATCTGGGAGTAAGAAGGGAGCGAGATGCGGGACAAGACACGGGAATCGAAATTTTGAGGGGTGGGATTCGGGAATCAATCACTTAAACGCTCCGAACCGAGAACCGGGAAGTCCGATGACGAGGATTTATGAAGAAACTGATATAAGTGAAAGTCCAAAAGGCTAGCCTCCCACAAGCTGATTTTATGGGATCGTGTTTCACTTCTCTCCACAAACGCTTTTAACCTGATGAGTCGCATGGCAATCACTTGGTTGTGCATTTATTACAAAGATCCACTTTGCACGGTGTTAAATTGTGCAAGAAACTTTGGAAATGCAGCCAAAGAAGGCTTACAGGGGACAACCCAGTGGGTGGCGTATTATTTCAAATCCAAAGTCTTGGTATCCTGTACCAGAATATGCCATGATCGTTTCGGCCCTTCAGGTATTCAAATGTTATCACCTGTTCCGATAGCACCAAAGAAAAACAGAAAATGAGGGACTGAGCGCAAACATTTGGTGTAGCAGCGCGTCAGATGGCAAAAACTGGAAGTGTCCCGTTGTACCTCGATTAGAGAGAAATTCAGCTGGGTGAACCGCTCAGCTTCTAACTCTCTGACTTCGAGGAGCAGCAAAACAAACAGACGAAGAGGAAAATGAGATGTTAGAGTACGATTCCCCAGCAGTGATGAATAATCGGATGAGTCAATCCCGGATGACGAGACCGCATTTGATGATCGTCACTCTCTTTGGAACGAGAGACTTCGGAAGAAGTATTTTTTTCAACAGCAGAATTGTATTCAGTTGAATTTTCTTTATTTCCCTTGTTATGGAAGCAACAGGATTGCCGTCACCTTTTTTTTAATGCACTTGGTGACATTGTTATTCGTTTCTTTGATACTGACCTGTCTTTACTAATATTTTTTTGCGTGATAGAAGTTAAACAGAAGGAAGTCGTCACCGTGACTAGCGTACGTTATTCGTGCAAAACTTTAAAACTTCTAAAATTAACGATATCGTTTGGGTGAGAAAAGATAAACGTACGCCTTACGGTGAATAAAGACTTCAACGGATCAATGCTGGATGAGGAAATCATCAATGGACTAAGAACAAAAATTTATGATCGGGATCGGGATTGGCAGGTATGCACCGTCGGGATTACGGGATTAAGAATGAAATTTAAGTCGAGATCGCGGGATTAAAGAACCCCATTGGGGACCCTCTTTAAATACTGCTCTTGTTGTAGCAATGTCGAAGGTACATTTTAAACGATGAATATCCAAGAAACAGAATTCGGATTCTACTCGATGCGCATGTCTCAGACATCCGATGATCAAACTATGTTCAGTAAGTCAAAGTCCTTACCTGAATTACGCATGCTTTTGTTATAGGCCGATTGCGAATTGATTTTGGGTCTCGGTATGTAATTTCGGGAGTTGCCTATAAAGAGAGAACGAGACTCTGACTAAAATTGATGGAGACTTTCATGAAAAAGTAGCGAAACGGTCTCTTGCAATAAAGTTTGAAAATTATATTTAACAGTGAGACTTACTGTATATGCTTACGGAATGCTTTCAAGGAAAGTTGACCCATCCTATGAAATTAATCTAGTTGCATCGCCGTCAATTATGTTGTTTTGTAAGCTGAGTACCTGATATGATAATCACCTCTTTTAATTCATGTCGCAGATATTTTTCTCCAGAAAAGCTGCTCATTTCCAATAACGTTGTGAAGAAAATCAGTTTCTCAAGCTAGCAGCAATGGATTTGGAAGTTTAAACCTTTTGGTGAATATTTTCGGTAATGGATTCGTTGCCAAAAAATTGTTATTGGAAACAAGGCCAAAGCCGTATGACATTAAGAAAATTCATATCGTCGTAACCTCGTTTATTAAGTAGTCTGGATATGCTGCATGACTAATTCCCAGAATGTAATAATAATCGCGTGGTGGCCGGGAAGCAGGCAACACAGCGGTCAAACGTCGGGTGTGCGCGAGGGGGTCAATTCTGGCAGGCCGCGCGCCATTTTCCCGCGCAACATTCCTAAGGAAAACATGAAAAGCAGCTCCTGTGTCGCAAAATAAGCGAAAGAAAATTGAAACGTCTATCGTAATCTGTAGAAGAAAATAATTGTGGAGAAAAAGAAAACTCGACAATTTTCGAACACGGAACTTATTCAAGTACGGGTATCCTGTTGATTCACCTTTCCGTTTTAATCTTAACCAAAAACAAAGACGGTTGCAAAACACCTCGACTCACTTGCATGTGAGGCTCTGTGTAACTCGTTTCTGACAGCACTCCACGTAGTAATTACAACCTGCACACATGCACAGACGTTGGACCGCTATGTGGAAGCAAGCAGAACACGGTGGTTGCGGTTACCAGGGAGACGTCTACAGATTACGCCAGCTTGCCTGCAAGTTAACGCGCGTGCCATTTTTCGCGTATTCGCTTTTTCGCTCGTCTTCGCTGATGAGAGGATGGAACAGGCCAAGATAGAAGAAGTGAGGATGAAGGAAGAGAAGAGTAGAAGTGGTAGAGTCGTAGAATCGATCACATTACAATAATGTACAGTAGTATGAATTACAGTGGACTTAAGTCTGGACAGATTAGAAGGAATAACTGAGTATACCTTATATAAAAGAGAAGAGTTAATTTTTTTAGGATTGTAGCTATGCTGAGCTTAGTAAAGAAGTATTAAGAACATTACAGAAGCGTGTGATTTTTATGTGG